TTAATTCGATTTAACGGCGCTAACTTCGACATAAACGCCTAGTGTAGACCAGGCCTAAGAAGGCTACTGTTTAGGACAGGAAGTGAAGAATAACTCAACCAATTGAAAATGCATTGGGAATGTAGCTAGGGTGGATGCAAGTACTCAAATGGGAATTCTGCCACATGACTGGGCTTAATGCCCCTTTCACATGGAAAATGTCTTGGGACAGATAAGTGAGCAGGGCGTCATTCTTTATGTTTCATCAGAGGCTTTTATTTCTGAGTCAGAGTCCTACCAAGTGGGGTCCTGGTCCCTGACTGGGGTTCCTAGCTACTGTGGTTATACCTAAGGTAAAGTATAATAATGTGGATCTAGCTCATGAAGAGCCCATTAAAGTCAATGCAAGTGTTGCTCAATTCAGGACTGCTGAATTTGGCCCTAAGTTCTTACTTGGTTTTTAATTAGTCCTTAGATAAAATTCGTATCACTCTCCTGGGAGTTTTATCCAAGAGAGGACCGAGTAATAAATGAGTGAGAACTTTAGGATTTAGCCCAATAATAATAGGATGGACTTAAATAGCAGCTTTCCTTCTGAACATCTCAACTACATGTAGCCTACCTATAGGTGGGCAAATAGTATTATCTCCATTTTATAGACTGGGGAACTGAGGCCATGTCTATACAGAGAGTTTGAAACAGCAATAGGTCAAAGCACACTATGGAACTTTTAGTGCATGGCGGCAGGGTCCACACAGCCAGTTAGTGTGCAGCACGCTAGTGCATTGTAGATTTACACCCCCGCTTGCCATGCACTAACTCTCTATAGGCAAGCCCTGAGACACAGAAAGGTGAAGAATATTTATCAAATGTCACACAGAGGTGCATTGGCAGCATGGGAAATAATAATAGGACTAAGGTTTCCTGACTCCTAGTCCCCTGCTCTAACTATTCAGCAATGCTGTCTCTCAGTTGCTATTAATCCTACCACCTACTGTCTCTGGACTTCTCCCATCCAAATACTGAATCAGTTCAATCCTTCTTAACTTGTGACATTTACCAGGATCATGCCACAAGCAGGTATATTTTCAGGCAAGGTGGCAAAGAAGTTGACCGTGAGTTTTCTGATATATATTGGGCAGAGGTGGGAGACTATCCTGGAAAAATTAAAACACTTACCCCACTGCACCCGCTGGCAGCTGTTTTAAGCATTCCCAGAGCCAAGCATTTTCTTACAAAATCAAAACATCTTTTACTTGAAAGGTGCCCTTACAGAGCTAGGTGTGTGACGATCAGGGCCCCATCTCCATTGGCAACAGTGAGGAGCCCAAGTGTAAGAAGCGTGTTTTAAAAGGACAAGAAATATGTTCTCTGTGGGAACCAGCCAGGTCCTCTGTAAGGAGCTGTAGGGCATCTTGCCATCAAATTATAGATGAATACACAAGAGGCAAACAAATCTGCATACAGTTTAGTGTGATGAAAAGAAAAGATGAAGCTGTGTGACACGACACCAGATGGCAAGGCATTTTCCCTTCACCCAGGAAGAACAGGGAAGATTCAGGATAATCACATACAGGGATGTATAGTAGAAAGTATAGGTGATTAGAAAACAAATCAACCCCAAAACAAACCAGCCAAACAATAACATCTGGGGTACGGGGTAGGTCTAAAGCTGTAGCACTGAGTATTTCTCCCAAATACAAACCGATTGCTAAATCTGGAATTACACCTTGCCTATAAAGAGAAAAAGCACAAGATGATTAGTGTGATAGCAGGAAAGTATTCTTATGCTGTTTAACACCCAACTGTAAATCCGGTGTTTCTGATCTGCTGAATTAACTGTGCCCAACACAGTTGGGCTGTGCCTAACAGCCAAGTGAACAGATACAAAAGAAAGGGAAAGCTATTGTATTTCAGCAGTTATTACGCGCCCTGATGGTCCAGCTGAGTGACACTTTCAACTTCTAATTTTTAAACATAGTCCTTTGGGGAAAAGGTTGTGATCTCATGACATTGTGACTGATGTCTTGATGTGCTGGGTCAAGTTCGCTGAGACCAGAAGTATAGTAGGATTTATAAAAGAATTATGTTTACTGTCTGCTGGGCTTAGGCAGAAACTTCGGCTCTGGGCAGATTAATCCCTAACTGTCCTGGATGTGATTTCTTGCATCATCCCCTGGAGCATTTGGCACAGGCTTAAATGGACCAGAGGTCTGATCCTATGTGCTTCTACAAGTCCTTGTGGTGAGAAGTCTCGTTTCCTTAGACCTGAGAGGGTGAGCTGGAATTCAGTGTCACAATTTCTGCAGGAGAGCTGGATTCATAGTTGTTGCATGAAATGTCAAAACTATAAGCTTGAGCCCCATTGGAGCATCAATAGGCAGCCCCTGCAAAGAGCGAATCAACAGCTGAGCCAAATCTCCACTGCCCAACCCCAGCTTTGAACTCAGACTGCTCATCAGCAGGCAGGCACCACAGAGAGCAAATCAGCGACTGAGCCAGGTCTTCACCACTGCCCACTCTCATTAATAAGGGCTGGCTGCATTCAGCACTAGCTGGCAGATGACAGCTCAGTTTCTTAGATGGCTCAACACAGAGTGCAGTGCAATGACCGGCAGAAAGAACTTCTCCTCTTCTCTTGCAGCAGGAAGCTTCCCAGAAGGATGGCCTCCCTCTTGGAGCTGAAGGAAATCTTCCGCAATGCCGATGCAGTGTGCTTTGATGTGGATAGTACAGTCATCAAGGAAGAAGGAATCGATGAGCTGGCGAAGTTCTGTGGAGTTGGGGATGCTGTGGCAGAAATGTACGTACACAATTTGGTGATTGATTCCATTGGCATAGCAATCAATAGTAATAATGGCTCAGCTTCATCCCTGGCCAGTGGAATTACATCAGGGATGAATAGGTTAAAGAGGATCATAGTAATAATAAATAGCATCAATGAATACTGGAATAACTTACAGTTTGGAATTGTGGATATATGGGGCCTGAGCCAACGTTCATTCAAATCTGTCCAATGAACACCAGGCCCCTACTTTGTTAAGGGGCTTTTAGTTAAACTTGGCAAAACAGTAGCACAGCCTGGTCCCTCTTTTTTGTGAAAGAAAGAAAATACATCTTGGGCCATTCTGAAGCCTGATCTTGCCCCCATTGGTGCCAATAGCCAAACTCACATTAACTTCATAGGGAGCAGAATCAGGCCATTACTTAAGGAATGCTGGTCCAATATGGAGAAATAAAATAAAGATTTTGTCAGCTGGTTCAGCCATGCTCAGGTACAGCATGATGTCAGGGCTACCTATCTGCTTTGCCTCATGGTCCCCCTAAATCACAGCATTTATCTTTAGAAGTATCAATGATCCTCTTCCACTGAGCCTGGGGAAAGTGTCTGTTTGAGGTTTGTAAGATATTTATTTACAGCATCCACAGACTTAATGAGTCGCCAATAAGTAGTCATCAATCATCAGTTCAGCTCCACCTTTTTTAAAGCTCTTTGCTGCCCATCTTCTGTATTTTGCCCAGTAATACTGGTCAGGTAACTTCAACCTGCCATGTTAGAGTGCTCTCCCTCTTTGCTCCATTGTAACTAGAGGTGGATCTGAACCGCCACAACATTTTTGGAGGGGGATTTGAAATCTGGCAGCAGTTCTTAAATATCATGCAAATTTCTCAGCTCATACCTTTTCAGAATGTGTACACAACAGAGCCTAGAACTAATGGCACTTATGAATAATTCTTCTTCAGTTAAAAGTCTTTGTGACAAATCATCTCCTGTCGAGTGTAACTGATTTGCATGGATTTGTTTGGATCTCAATTCAGGACTCGGAGAGCTATGGGAGGCTCCGTGACATTCAAAGCTGCTTTAACGGCACGACTAGGACTTATACGTCCCTCCTGGGAGCAAGTGCAAAAACTAATTTCAGAACATCCTCCTCAGCTCACACCAGGCATAAGGTAAGATGCGTTTCAAGTGAGCTTCCAAAGCCACAGAAGGCCAGATGCTCAGTTGGTGTAAATCAGCATAGCTGCGTGAAGTCAGTGGAGTTACACCAGCTGGGGATCTGCCCTAGAATGTTTTCCGGCTTGACTTTTACATGGTATGTGATGTTCAAATCGGGATGTTACAGTGGGATGAGTCCATTTCTGTGGACAAGTGTCCACATCAAAGCAGGCACCATCTCGGTGGGTACTAAGGGGCATCCTTGTTGGCAGTCTCCGCACACAGGCGAAGGACTGAATGGTTATGGACAATGATCTATCCCATCACCTTTAGAAGTGGTCTTTCTAGGTCCAAGGTGTGGCCCTTTGATTGCACTGCTGTTGCCCTAGGCGTGTATGTTCTGGAGATATAGAATCTGACCCTGTGAAGTGCTGAGGGCATTCAAATCCCAGGACTGGACCCATCTAGAGGAGTCCGTTCTTCAAGGCTATCAGTTCATTACTAAAGTCACAAACGAAGTTTTAAAGAAATTGGGGCTCAGAGTAAGCATAACTCATTTCAACCTAACAGGTATTTTCTACCCAAAAGCAGTAAGTGACTGAAAAAAGGCTCTTAGTAGAAAACTGCCCTCCTAGCAGGCTCTAATACTATAATACCGAACAGTGTTGTGAGAAGATATTGCATCTGTGTTTTCTCCTTGAACTGAAAAACAGATTTGTTCTCTCTGTAGGGGCGGCAAGAACACAAACAGCACATTGTGTCCTTGTTTGGAATCACGTGATTTTCTTCTCTTTACTTACACTCACCCTCTTCCTTTTCCCCCTCCCCTTTCCTGTTCAGACAGCTCCTCTGCTTTAATCCTGTATTTTCCTGTCTGTGTTCCAGCACTTCCTCTCTTGCGACCGCCTCTGCTGCTTTGCTTTTGCGGCTTGTTGGTCTTTTGTTTTAGGGCAGATCTTGCCAGGTGCTGAGTGCCTTCAACTCCTCTCGTCCTCACGGACTGGGGGTGAAATTCTTTTGCCTCCGATACAGCTTTTGATGATTCTTTTTCTGTAGCCATTGCCTTTTCTACAGGAAGGCTGTTGCTGTCCAGTGTTCCCCTAGGAACTATCCAGCAAGAGATACGGCTCAGGGTCAGTGAATCCAAAAGATCAGCTTGTGCTTTAGATAACTTTAAGCACATTCTCTGTGCGGCTTGGTGCTATGGACTCAACCGCCTATGTCTCTTGCATATTGTGGATTTTTTTGATGGTCTTATTTCCACATTCAGGAGAATTTCTGGGTGGGATCAGATCTCATTTGTTCACTGGAATTGACCTGAATGTCAAGAAAATTGACCTGAATATCAAGAAAATCAGTTCCCTGATCCACTAATTGCCAGTCTGTGTCTCAGTATAATACAGATTTGTTCTAGCTCCCTTCGTACAAACTCTACGTGAGCTTGCAAAGGAAGAAGGGAAAGTGTAAGGCTGAACTAAAGTATGGTTTTAGAATCATACCATATTGGGGGGAGGGATAGCTCAGTGGTTTGAGCGTTGGCCTGCTAAACCCAGGGTTGTGAGTTCAATCCTTGAGGGGGCCATTTGGGGATTTAGTTGGGGATTGATCCTGCTTTGAGCAGGGGGTTGGACTAGATGATCTCCTGAGGTCCCTTCCAACCCTAATAATCTATGAAAATCATAGAATCATAGAATATCAGAGTTGGAAGGGACCTCAAGAGGTCATCTAGTCCAACCCCCTGCTCAAAGCAGGACCAATTCCCAGCTAAATCATCCCAATTGAACCCCAATTCCTGAATAAACAAGGAGAATGCAAATTGTAGTCAGCTTTGTTAATGAACGATATAGTTGGGATTCCTCCTTCCCTCTCTGTTATTTCTTGATCTTGCTAGATATTCAGGGCTGGTTGTTGTGTTTTTTTTTCCTGTAAGGGAGCTGGTAAGCAGGCTTCACCAGCGAGGCATCCAAGTCTTCTTAGTATCCGGAGGGTTTCAGAGCATTGTGGAGCACGTCGCTTTACAGGTGAACATTCCAACAGCAAATGTGTTTGCCAATAGGCTGAAGTTTTACTTTAATGGTAAGATGTGATTGATGGCTCTTTTTTCTACTCATTGATTGTGGGCTACAGTGGCTTAAGAATTTAATGGAAAATCAACATATTGAAATATGATCATTTTGCTTCTATGAATGACCTTTCTGAACTGAGGCTGATGGTTCTCAGTCCCGTTTCTTGTGATCGAGCGTGCACCTAATAAATACCATCACTACAAGTGGCACTGATTGTCCCTTGTTGGCCGTCTTAGCAGAGAGGCCAAGGAGAGGTCCGGGTTAAGGCAGTTTGGTGACGTAAAAGCATTTAAAAAGTCACAGGACGTAAGACAGAAAATGAAGTGTGGGTTCCAGTAGTGGCTTTATAGCCAAAATCCATGCTCTACCAGAACCATCCAGCCTGCATCGTCTCAGTGCCAGTTCGGGCACAGCACCAGGCAAGGAAATTGTGAGCCCCTCTTCTTTCTCTCTCTCCTGATGTCTGCCAATCAAACTCTGGGGGGGTGTGCTGTTCTGTGGATGGAAAACCGCAGACTGCTGGGATGTCAGGCTGGCAACTTTCTCCAGCACTAAGTCGTCGTCCCTCACCCCTCCCCAGAAACCCCTTCTCCCAGAACTCCCCTCTCTCCTCCAAACAAAACAAATCCAGTTGAAACAATTTCTGGCTGTACAAATTGTTCATTGGAAGCTATTGTTTTCCCTGAGACAACATAACACGCTAGGGTAAAGAAACAAGCATGGGAAATACCCTACTAGGAATGATAGTTGGTTCAAGCTATTATGTGTCTAGAATAAAGATCAAATACGTTATTTTTTTAATTATGGGCTGTACTAGGGAAAAGCAGCAAACGTTGGAGCTCCTTTGCACGGCAGCGGAGGCGTAGAAAGTCACATTCTTTTACATTCTTGCTAGGGGTTTGATAAGATTTCAAGTCAAGGTTAAAGACTGTCTAATTAATAACAACACAGTTTCAGTGCTTTTAGCTTCTGCTCTCAGTGACTTTGGGGTAAATCCAGAGTAACTATTGACTTCAATGGACTTGACTTCAGTGGAGTTGCTCTGGATTTTACACCAGTGTAGAGCTGGGCTCAGTGGGGCTCATTATTCTGATTTACACTGATTTTAATGGGGTGACAGTGTAACCGAGGGTAGAACCTGGCCCAATGCATCTGTGAATTTGTGGAATTTTTTGCCTTTGCTCAGCATTCAACACTGTGAAAATTCACACCTTTGTGGCACTGTAAGACCCACAAAGTGATTTAGGTCAAATCCTACAGTTTTTAATGCATGCTTAACTTCCAATTAATTCAGTGGGGGCGTTATGCATGTAAAGCCTTCGGGATTGGGCCCTAATTAGTTATTTCCTAATGAAAAGGCCATGGACAATGTAAAAATCCCTCTTGATTTTCAAGAAGTTCATTGGTGTCTTTCCTAGGTACCTGTGATTCTCTGCAACCCCCTGAAGCAATTGCACATGCTGCCCAAGTATCTAACTCCTCCTCCCCATATGTTTTTAGGAGAATATGCAGGGTTTGATGAGACACAACCAACAGCTGAATCAGGTGGAAAAGGAAAAGTTATCAGTCATCTGAAGGAACAGTTTCACTTTAAGAAGGTAGTTATGATTGGAGATGGAGCTACAGACATGGAGGCATGTCCCCCTGCTGTGAGTATCCAAGAACGGGATTTCCCCTTTAAACAAATGCTTTCTTATGTTTATATATATAAAGCAATGGCAAGACATCATCTGTTTGACTGTTATACAGTATTTAAGAGGGATCATTAATGCCTTTCAATCTATTCTGAAACAGTATCTTGTGGGCTATTTGCAGCAGCAAAGGCTGAGACAGAGATCAGATTTCCTGCCTGACACCAAGAGGGGGATGTACTGATGGGCATTCACCTCCGTGTGTCAGCAGGCAGTGGGATCACCTGAGGATGGAACAAGGGATCAGGCCATTCACTCATGTGCCCCTTTCATTCTGGGTCTGGGTCACACACGCACACTCATCATGTCTCTCTCTTCTTTGTGCCATTTGAGCAAACACCCACACCTGCAGCTGAGGTCATCACCTCCCTGCCTCTCCAGCCTCTTATATGAGAACCTGAAAAGAAACATCATAATCCTGTTATCACCTTACACGCATCACTCTCCCTATAGCCCACCCAAGCTTCTCTTTTGATTGCTCCCTTTGGCTCCTTGACCCACTCCCAGCTCCTTGCCTTCTTTCATGTTGCACTTGGAACAGACTTGGAAGCCAGCCAAGCACATTCCCTCAGAAATCTGAAAACCCTCCAGTGCCACTAAGCAGCCCACTAATGCCTTCCAGCTGGTTTGGACAATATTGTTCGGCACTCAACCTGCCTTTTAGACAGTGGCCAGCACCTCCAGATTTGCAATCCTTTCTTTGGTATTGTTTACCTTTTTTAAAGGCATTGCTTGCGCGCGCGCACACACACACACACACACACACACACACACACACATCTTTTGTCAGCATAGCACTAGGATTCCTGCTATTACTGTTAGTATCATGGTGCTTCTACACAGATTCCATCAAGTGCCAAGATCTCAACCTGGGCCACTGATTTATGGTGCTTAGGAAGCACGCTCCTGCACCCTTCTGGTGCATGTGCTGCCTAATACTAGCAAAGCAAGGGTGCTAGTCTGATGGCTTGGAGGGGTGGGTACCAAGATCCTTTCTTGCACCAGAGATGACTTCTCATGGGGATGGAGCAGACACCTGCCATCCCCTCCCCCGAACATGGCAGCTCTCACAGAACTGGGAATAATTTAAAAAAGAATTAAAAACACAACCTAAAAAAACAAAAAATAGTGCCTTTTTACAGTGGGTGTGGATCTAACTTGCAACTGTCCATTATAGTCAAGTACCTTGCTAGAATACTAATGCTCTTGCTCTGTCAGAATCAGGAAGCATGTATCTTAATGCGGGCCTGGGATGTGCTCCCCAAGTACCATAAAATCAGCACTGTGGTATAAGGAACATGCATGATGCTAGTTCCAAGTGCCAGTGCTTGTGTGATTCTATTATTTTTAATGCTAACAGTGCCCATCTTGGCAGCAAGTGTATGCACTACGATTCCAGATTAATATTTGTTTAATGCCTGAAATATCTCATGAAACAACAAGAAGTGAAAGTTTAAATGTTGCATTTTCATTGATCTAGATTGTCTAGGCTCTAGAAATGATGATTGTTCTTGGTTAATGATTTGAGCCATTATTAGTTAATGATTACATTTGGTATCTGTCTCACGAGGTGAGTGGAGTTAAAATAAATAGCATAGGTATAATTGTGATATTGTGCATAAACATTCGCCTGTGAACTCCTACTGGACCGTTAGGAGTTCAAGGTACAGTAGCAGCATAAGTCACAGGAATTTTCCTCAGATTTTTCAGTGACCCTGCTCCCATGGCAAAGTTCCCATTGACTTCAAGGGTGCAAGATCAAGCCTTTAATGAAATCCATCCTAGGAACAAACACAGAAAGGCAAATTTTTTTTGGTGAGGGGTTTTTGCTACAGTTTTTGAGGATAAACTCATTCTTTTTTTAAAATTGAACATATTTACACTAAAAATCCCCATTTGATTAGTGGAAAGCTCAATATACAAACCTATTCATTTCTGTTTTGCTAGGATTGCTTCATTGGATTCGGAGGAAATGTAATCAGGAAACAAGTAAAGGAGAAAGCCAAATGGTACATCACTCACTTTGACGAACTGCTTAAAGAACTGGAAGAACGATAAGTTATACAGTAACATAGTATTTTTATTAACAATTATAGTAGATCAATATATACAATGCAATTAAACGTATTTGTTTGCACAATTGTGTACTAAATTTTTTTATTTGAATTTGATGCTTCCAGATAACTTCCCAAGATGTTCCCTCTCGTACCTGCAGTTCACACTGCAAGTGGTCCCATTCCCATATATTACCCAAACA